CTGTCTTTTCCCCAATTAACAGACTTTGGGCCTTTGTCAAATATCAGCTGGTCATAGGTAGATGAATTTATGTCTGGATTCTCAATTCTGTTCCATTGGTCTGTGTATCTGTTGTTGTACCAGTACCAGGTTGTTTTAACTACAGTGACAGTATAATAGGTCCTAAAATCAGTTAGTGTGAGGCCTCCCACCTTGTTCTTCTTCTTGAATAATGCTTTACTTATTTGAGGCCTCTTCCCTTCCCATATGAAGTTGGCGATTTTTTTCTCCATCTTGTTAAAAAATGCCGTTGGAATTTGGATCGAGATTGCACTGTATCTATAGATGGCTTTGGGTAGAATTGACATTTTCCCAATGTTGAGTCTTCCTATCCATGAGGAAGGTATTTTTTTTCCTACTTAAGCAGGTCTCTTTTGGTTTCTTACAGTAGTGTCTTGTAGTTTTCATTGTATAGGTCTTTTATGTCTCTGGTTAGATTTATTCCTAAGTATTTGATCTTCTTGGGGGCTATTGTAAATAGTGGTGATTTGGTGATTTCCTCTTTGAGGTTGTCTTTGTTGGTGTAAAGGAATCTAGCTGATTTTTGTATGTTTATCTTGTATCCTGAAACTTTGCTGAAATCTTCTATTAGTTCCAGTCTTTTTCTTGTGGATTCTTTGGGGTTTTCTGTGTATAAGAGCATATCATCTGGAAAAAGAGATACTTTTACTTCTTCCTTACCAATTTGGTTGCCCTTTATTTCTTTTTCTAGCCTAATTGCTCTGGCTAGGACCTTTAGCACAGTGTTGAATAAGAGTGGTGATAAAGGGCATCCTTGTCTGATACCTGTTCTCAGGGGGAACACTTTCCAAGTCTCTCTATTTAGGATGGTGTTGGCTGTTGGCTTTATATAAATGCCCTTAATTATACTGAGGAATTTCCCTTCTATTCCTATTTTGTTGAGAGTTTTTATCATGAATGAGTGTTGGACTTTCTCAAATGCCTTTTCTGCATCGATTGATAAGATCATGTGGTTCTTGTCTTTTGTTTTAGTAATGTGATGGATTACACCGATTGTTTTTCTAATGTTGAACCATCCCTGCATACCTGGTTCAGTTATATATCTTCATAAATTAAAAAAAAAAAATCAAAGTCATACATTCATATGGTTAAAAAAAGTGAGTACAGAATGCCTTATAGTTCCCAAACGTATGTGGCAGAAGCGGTTTGCAGTCGGCTGCTAACCTAAAGGTTGGCAGTTTAAACCCATCCTGTAGCTCTCTGGGAGAAAGGCCTGGTGAACTGCTTCTGTAAAGATGACAGCCAGGAAAATCCTATGCAGCAGTTTTAAAAACAGTTTTGGCTTTAGTTCTTTGAGTGGTTATCTCCATGTCTCTAAATGCTTATTCCACCACACTTGTTCCAGTTTTTGACTTAGTCAGTTTTAGACATTAGCTATTTGCTTTTTGCTGTGGTAGATGAGGATTTAGCTCACACCTTCTCTCCAGTCTATACTTTCCTCTTCTTCCCAGAATACTCACATAATTTTTCTAAGTTCCCCCACTAGTCATGGTCACTTTTACCCCCATACTTAAAGCTCCATTTCTTGTTCCATAGATGGAGTGATTTCTTGATCTTGGCTTTGTGAGATGAGCACATTAGCCCTCCCACTCATCTGTCTACCCTCCTTCCCCCCATTCTGTTTCATTTTACCCTCTAGCTGTATGGCGGAGACACGGAGGAGTAAGACAAGGACCTTGCCATTCAGGAGCTTTAAGACTCTTGGGATTTAATATGTTTATAGTTAGATGTAGGGATCCCTGGGTGGCATAAATGGTTAAGCACTCAACTCTTAGCCCAAAGGTTGGCGATTTGAACCCATCCAGAGAGGCCTTGGAAGACAGGCCTGGTGAGCTGCTTCCAAAAGGTCACAGCCTTGAAAACCCAGTGGATCAGTTCCAGTCTGCACACATGGGGTCACTATGAGTTGGAATCCACTCCACAGCAACTAACAGCAACAACATAGTTAGGTGTACAGTACGGACAAAAGTGGTAAGTATCAAAAAGGAGGCATGGAAGAGTGTGGCAGCAGCGCAGGAGAAGAAACAATTAGCCCTGAAAAGAAAGCTCTGATATGATTTGATGAACAGTTTGGCATTTGAGTTGGACATAGACTATACAGAGATAGATTTATTCTGGGAAAATGCCAAACTTAATTTCTATCCACTTAAAGCAAATACTTAAAGCACTTTTTGATAAAATTATTTTGTTTTTATAGGCCAGAAGGCTTTAGCTGATGCACAGATCCCTTATTCAGCCGTGGAACAGGCATGTGTTGGATATGTTTATGGTACGTGGTAAATTATATGCACCCGCTCCTCACTTATGAACATGATTAGGTTCCAAAGACCAGGTCATTATGCAAAAATGGAGGATGACTAACTACATCATTATATAACTGCCAAATTACATCATTACATAACTGCCAAACCACTGAGAATCGTGGCCCAACCAAGATGACATATAACCTTGACCATCACAACCAGTGTTACTCTTGCTTCATGCCTCGGCATTTGTTACTGCCAGACATACATCGTTAACATGCAAAATAGTCGGATAGTTGATTTTTTGTTATCATTGTAAATGCGAAATGTCAGATAACAAGATAGTCGATAAGTGAGGAGTAGGTGTATTCTAAAAATTATTCACCTAAATCTAGAAGCGACTACATAAACAACACAGAAGAGGTATTTGTGAATTTTAACTCTCAAAACTCAGAACTCTCGAAACCCGTGGTTCACAGATTTCCCTTATGTGGCAGCCTAGTTTAATTTGCTGTTATTTTTTGTCGAAACAGGAGATAAATTTAAAAACATTTTTAATATCTTTAAAAAAGAAGAAATTACTCATAGTTCTACCATGTAAGGATAATTACTGTTCAGGAGATAAGTTTCTGTTGTTTGTTGTCTTAAAATATATATTTATTGACTTTTTTTGTATATAATAAAATTTTTTCATTGGACTTTTTTCTAATTAGAAAAATAACTATAACAATTGTTTTATAAAAAAGGAAAGCACAGAAAAGCACAAGGAGAAATAAATTGCCTGTAATCTCATTATCCAGAGATTACCACCATTAGTTTTTTGATATATATCCTTCAGTGTGTGTCTATGTGTGTGAATACGTATGCACAAGTTTCTCTTAAATCGGGTCCTAGTATACATACTTTTTTGTAAACTACTTTTCTTATTTTACTATTGATCATTTCCCATGTCATTAATTAGAGCTTCTTTTATACCATCATTAACATTTTTTAATTAAGTTTATTATTTATTTTCGGAATAGGTAATAAATTTACATGGTTCAGAAGTACAAAAGATGGATGACTGTATAGTGGAAATTCTTACTCTTATTCCTGTCTCCCTGTTTCGTGACTTTCTCCCCTTAGACAACCAGTTTTACCAAATTCTAGTGTATCTTTCCAGAGAAAATTTATGCACATACAAACAAGTATGTGTGTGTAATTTCTCCCTTCCCCTTTTGTTACACAAATTGTAACATAACATACGCACTATTTGGTGTCTTTTTAAAAAAAAATTATTCTAGATGACTATTCCAAGTTGTATCATAAAGGTCCTCCTTGTCTTTTATTTTTTTTTAGTGACAGCATAGTGTACCATTGTATAGATGTATGACAACTTGTTTAATCCATCCCCTTTTAATGGATGTTCCGAGTCTTTTTACAGCATTTAAAAAAATGGTGGTGTGTGTGTATATATATATATATATGTAAAATAAAGATTTTGCAATTTTAACCATTTTTAAGTGTACAATTCAGTGGCATTAAGACCATTCACCATGTTGTGCAACCATCACCACTATCCATTTCCAAAAGTTTTGTATCACCCGCAACAGAAACTCAGTATCCCTTAAGCAATACATCCCCATCTCTCCCTCCCCCTGTCCGTGGTAACCACTAATAAACTTGTTTCTATGCATTTGTCTATTTTTGATATTTCATATAAGTGGGATTGTACAATGTTTATCTTTTTGTGTCTGACTTATTCAGCATAATGTTTTCAAGATTCATCCATGTAGCATATATCAGAACTTCATTTCTCTTTTTGACTGAATAATATTCGATTGTATGTATATACCACGTTCTGTTAATCCATTCATCTGTTGAACACTTGAATTGTTTCCGTTTTTTGACTATTGTGAGTAATGCTTCAGTGTTTTATAGCGTTTTTGGTGATTACATGATATTCTAGTCTTGTGGATTTACTACAGTTTATTTAATAATAGTAATGGTATCCTGTTCTTGGAAATTTTATTTCTAATTTTTAGTTTTTATAAAAAGTTATAGATGAATCTTTGTCCATATTCATGATTATTTCCTTGAGATCTCAACAGATCAAGAGTATTCTAGAAAGGAAATCTACTGGGTCAAAGGGATGCAAAATGTTTTTGTTGAAAAGGAGGTCCTGAACCCTGCTGTTTTCCCTGAAGACTCCTTGAGAGCCTGTCCCACCAGATACTCCCATCATACTGCTTCAGCGTGTCTGCCTTGGTGGTTGTGTTACTTGGGAGAGGGAATCAGAGGTGTGCTCAACTCAGATCACCATTTTCCTGGAATGCCCTGGCACACAGGATCTTTTAAAATGTTTGAAGTTGTGGAATCTTTATATGAAAGGAAAATCAGGGCCTTGTAAATCAGTTGATAAAGTTTTAAAGATTTATATCTAACAGTCAAATGTTAATGAAATATTGCTTCCTTTTTCACATAATCCTAGTCAGATTGAATTGTTTGCTATTACCTGGTCATTTCTCTGTTCTTCTACCTCTGTATTATTAAAGAAAGTGCACAGTATGGGGCTAATTGCCTCCATGAACAACTGCCTCCTTTGCCATGAGATCAGAAGAACTGAATGGTGCCTGGCTACCATTATTAAACATTTTGATCAAAGATTCCATAGAAGAATCTTGATCAAAAGGGGGAAAATGTAGAACAGAATTTCAAAT